GGAGGAGGAAGCAGTACATTGCCAGGACTGTGTTTATACTGACTATCAATATGGTCTGAGTGCGCCAGTTAGAGAAGTCAAAGGCAACTGTTTTTTCAGTGTGTTAACTATCTAGTTTGAAAACAGAAAAAAGAATGAAGCAGCCTTGTCATATATCTCTTTTTTGAAAACTCTTAAATAGGATGTTGTCAAATGAACCATATGCTACGCATATAAATTAACTAAGATTATTTTTCTGGCTGTTTCTAACATAAACAGACTGTAGATGTGTAAATCTTAAATTTAACCATGCAATCAATTGCTGTTTACTAACTTAAGAAAAAAAAGGCTGTCTTGTTATAGCCTTTCTTAAAATGTTTCACATGCTCAGTTTTTGATACAGCATAAGCAGCCCTCTTGTCATAAGATGCTTTTAACTACATCTTGCTTTTCTACTACTCCTCTCAGAAGGTCAGAAAGAAGATAAGAGGCATCTTCTAACAAGCTTTTGTTGTCTGCTGTGTGGCTATGTAAACCCTCTTGCATACCAAGAAAGTTTTGCAACAATATCCCACTGCTACTTATTGTGATAGTGTTGGCAGTAACAGGCGCTGTATTGTAGGTAGCTCGCTGGCTGCTCCCAGTGTTTTGATCAACATGGGTGAAATCTGAGCCTAACAAAAGTCAATGAGAATTTTGTCCTTGATTGCGCAGCAGCCAGGATTTCTCCCCAGCTGTTACAAACGCAGTTAGCATGGTAATGAGGGGAACACACCGTTTGGTATGACTTGATTTAAAAAGGGAAAAACTCACGCGTACAGTGTGTGTTTATGTGGATTTCCTGCTCTTCATAAAACTCTTCTTCCTTTACTGTAGCTTAGTATTCCTTGAGCTGGGAGTTTTTGGGATATAATGAATGCTTTTTAAATTGTTTATCTAATCCACAGTCTTCATATAAGCAACTAAATACTGTGCTGAAAATCTCTCAACTCTTAACAACTCTCGTGAGATCACCTAAAAACTAGATTATTGGGTCTTATCCTGTGAGCATAGAATGGATGGAGATGTCCAGTCCAAACATGGCCAATTACGGATTGTTCAGACCATGCTGCGACATCCTAACTGTGTTGTGCTTTAACACACAGGAAAAAAGGACAGTTGTGGTCATGTAGCCAGTATGGTTCAGGTTTGGGTAATGCTGCTATGTTTTAAGCTATTTAGTAGGTCTAATGCTTGGATAAAATATTTTTCAGGGAAATCTTAAAGTTGGCATGGTGACTGCTAGCCTAAGACTCCAAAGTATAGATTAAAAGGTGATTTAGGGAGATCGAGTAACGAACACTAATAAAAACAAAACTTTCACTTTACCGTGTTTTTAATGTGTGCTTTGAATGCTGTGGATATGGCCGAAAAGTCTGGAGGAAATCATGGCATGTGAACAACCAACAGCGCTGCTACAATTGTCTTACTGGCACGCTTGAAGTGTGATTCATTAATTCGGTATCTTGCTCATAATCTTTTTTTTTCTTAATGCACCCTAATCAGGCTTTTATTTAGTTTGGGCATTCAGTTTGGGGGGAAAAAAATAATATTCTGCATTGTATCAACTATAAATTCATCACTGTGTGCTGCTGAAGTGTGTGTGACTAATTAAGAATGGTAGTTTTCCATATGATTTGCTAAATCATTTGTCATGTTCCCATTTGCTGAATCATCAGGTGTAGAATAACCAATTATTTCAATTGATTAAAAAAAAAATTCTTTAATTTAAACTTGTCTCTTGAAACCTTATCAAGGAAGAGTTGATCTCAAAGTTATTTTTGCTAAATTGGGGGGGAGGGGAGGGGAGCTAAAAGGCATTTGCTGTTTAAGAAGATTTTAAAGTAAAGGAAATGAGTTTGCGGAAGTTGAAGATAGTACAGGGTTTGAGGAAACTGGAGGCTTCCTGTATGACTTTGAGCAGATCACTTAACCGTACTGTCTTGATTTTCTTACCTATAAAATGGGGGTAGTGAAGAAATACAGGTCGTTGGAAGGTACCACTTAGTTGCTCTATATAAAAATGAATTTTTGGAACGCAGAAATCATCCTTTGAGGGCAAAAGATTTGCAAAAGCAGAAGTGCTCTCAATACATATTACATCTGTTATCGTGTGTAACTTTATCTCTCATAACAAGGATATACTTATGAGATAACACAACAAGAGTTGGTGGTTATAAATATATTAAGAAAATGGTCTAACTAAAAAAAAGGCAATATTGCAGTGAAATCTCAAAAATGTGATGCACCTGTATTTATCGAACTGTCACTTGACATTGGTTCCTCTGTTTCACTATTTAATAATCCTCAGTAATGCCCATTTTATATCTCAGTGCTCCATTTCTGTAAAAGAGCTTCTCAAAAAAAAAAAAAAAAAAAGAAAAGAAGCAAAATGTAGCAAAATCTGAACAAGATGCAGCCAGACTGCTCAGGCTTACTGCTTCTTTCGTATGTACTTCCAGCAGCTTGTAGAGTTTATTTTACAGAGAAGGCAAATTTGGAAATAACAGAGATGGCTTGTGCAAAATTAAAATTACATTATTGATTAACTACAAAGTGGTTTAAAAATACAAGCTCAGGGTAGTCCTGTTATCTGATACGCTTTTGATTCCAAGTTCATCCTTCAGTCCCCATATACGACTGTGTTCTGTTAAATTAACCTGGCATCTTGTTTCCCCAAGGTTTATGGGTCATTGACGGTATTAGGTTTCATGCCGGCCAGCTGCCCCCAAATCAAGTCCCTTCCTACACTCCAGCAGCAAAGTCAGGGATGGAGAAGAGGGAAGCACACAAACAAAGGCTGGGGGAGGCTGGAAGTGCAGTATGAAGACAGCCAAGTAATTTTACTTGCAGCTTCACGGTTAGAGATTTTCACGTATTCCACGCTCATTAGCAAAGTGTTGAAAAATGCAGCATTAAATTACAGTTGTTCCTTGGGACTGTTTTTGTTGCTCCTTGGGACTGTTTTCCTAAACTGGGTTACAAAAGCAAGCCTGAAAGGAGGAGCGTTTCAAAGCCCTCTGGCAAGGAAGATGCAGTATCTGTCGCACGCAAAGTTGAAAGGAAATGGGAATCTACAAAAGGAACCGAAATCGACTTGGAGCCTTTCCCTGCTGCCCCAGCAGTTTTACAGTTATGTTTGGGTTGTTTTTAAATGTCATAATGTGGTGACTGTGTTTTTGGAGAAGCTTAGCATGGTGGGCAGAGGTCTGAACTGCACAGGTGGCATTAGAGTTGATGGCAAAAGGTGTCTCGCCCCAGCTGCAGCAGTGCCAGGCTGTCAGTTGTGTTCCCTTCGATGGCCTGGCTGCTGCACGCTCTCCCTTCTCAGTAGGTAGGAGTAGAGTCAAGAGCTGAGCCTGGCACATGCCCAGGATTAAAAGCATTACTGATATTGTGCCTCTCCGCTTCAAAAATGTTTGCGTAGAGATAAACACTATCCAAAATGTTGAAGCTATAGAGTTGACCCTATGTTCAACTATAGGTGAGCATCCATCCTTAATAGTGGGTGTTTGGGACTATGGGTAATAGTATCCAGAGCAGGATAGTGTGATGTTCCTCTGTTCTCGCAGACAAGTTGAAGGTTGTTGTGATTTTTAAGGCGGTACAAGTCTATTGGACATGGCGTGACAGAATTGCCGTTTTGGGGCTTTTTATTGGCATGTCTGGTAGAGCCAGAAAGGCAGCTAGGAAATGTCACTCCAGAAACCTGCCTCTGACAGAGGAAAATACCAGTTACTTTAGTGGAAGATGCAGGAAACCAAGTAGCTGCCAATTATAAAGTGCTTGCAGGCACATTTTTTTTAACTTTGGCAATTTGTGGCAGGCTGCTGTTCTGAAGATGGAGCTTTTCTACCCTAACAGACTGTTGATACCATGTTGCTTAAAATATATCTGATGTCTGATTATGTGCGGGCCTGAGAATGCATGAATTCTAGTGAGCTGCAGTGGGATTATCTGGTAATATCAGGCCTTTATTTTTCAAGTTTACTGTGTGAAATCATACTTGTATTTGAGTAAAACATCCCAATTGCCAGTAAATAAGGAATCTCTCTTCCTATTTGTAGTCTGCTGTATTATTTATTATGCAAGGTGGTTTGTAAGGGGAGCAACCTGTTCTAGCAGTCAGTTAAGGGCTATGTTAAAATTCCTATTTACAGCTGTGTCATTGACTTATGCAGTGATCTTGAACAAATTGCTTATCCTGAGGAAAACTGAGGCATATGGAAGACAGAGGGAGTAATATCAAAAGCATATTAGATTCTCTGATGAAGAGCATTGTGTAAGGGCTAAGAAACCAACTGCAATTAAGAGTCTTGCTCCAAAAGGCACGTCAGGAGAATTTCCTTGTTTAGTATGTAGCTGACATCTTATATTTAAAACTTCTGTAACACCTTAGTGTGTGCACACACGTATGCACCCAGTGTGTGGGAGAGGAGGGCTCCTGGAGGGACCCGAAGAATTGAAAACCTCCCGAGAAATGAACAGCTGGCCTCACACGCACAGCCAGTAACTAGGAAGAAGAGGGTTTTATGTTGAGTCTGAATGAAAATCAGGACAAACATCAGTTGTTAGAATGTGCCAATCAAGGGCATCTTGGTAAATTCCACGTAGAGAGAAATTTTAATTTAGAGTTAGTGTTCAGTCAGTAAGCAAAGAAATATTCTTCGGATAAAAGTGCTTCAGATTTCATGGTATGGGAAACCAATAATTATGAGATACAGTGAACAATACAAGGTAGAATTGCTAAAGGGATTAATTAGCCTTAGTCTGTCTAACCACTATAATTGATGCAAATATACATCTGCAGCCTGCTGAGACATTAGATAGTCATCGTCCACCTGCTCAATTTACCAGTGTTGCAGAACACAGCTGTCAGAATAATTTCTGGGTTTTTTTTCTGGAACTCCTTGAGCATAATTGGCTGTTTGTTCTTTTGTTGTTCAAAATGTTTTCTTTTTCTCTTTTCTTTTTCTAAACAGCACTTCCATGATGGCAGAAAGGCACAACAACATATTGAAACTTGCTGGAAACAACTTGAAGCAGTAAGTGGAAACTTCCTCAGATGTGACACTTAAGTCATTTTTGTATTGTTTTTATAGAGATGGTTCCAAACATTGTATTTGGAAAAAGAAGGGTGTATGGATAAAAGCTGTAGAAATGGGATTTTTAAAACTCTGCTGTCTTAAATACACTGGTAGACATGAAAAAGTCTGTTCTAATAGTACACTTGGTTTTCTGTGGGATCTGTGTCTATCATGACTAGCATTTTATTTGATATGACTTGAAAAGTGTGCTAAGTGTTGCTGGAAATGCAGGGTCCCTAAGGGTCCTATTCAGATATTCGGCTGTAAGCTGAATGGCTTCATACTGTGCACATAAATTGAATGGGGCCATCTCTTGAGTCAGGTGCTGTTTCTCAAAAGTAAATACACTGGAATTGTCGTTCATGTGATGAATGAAAAGTGAGACTATAAGTAGAGGAGAGGATAAAGAAAGGGGACATTAGTAACCAGAAGTCCTACTTGCAAATGTATGAATCTTAGTAACTCCCTTGCTGCGCATTATAAAAATGTGGGAGTTAAGTGTTGAAGGGAGTGATTTGGTCTACAAGAGCAGAAGAGATGCTAACAGGGAAAAATATTGAAATACTAGTGATGTTGGTAGAATCAAGCAGCCTCAAGAGCGGAACAAAAAATGTGTAACTTTGTTTTTTGAAGTTCTTTAATATGGAAATGTATTCCAATGTAAATAAACGAGTCCTAAAATCTGACAGTTGTTACAGCAGATCAGTTTAGGGGCAGGTATTGATTTTAGGTAGATTTTAATATCATGTTTCTTTCCCATAATGAAGGCTTCTGTTTTTCCTTTTCAGAGTAAAAGGCGGTTTGAACGTGATTGCAAAGAAGCTGATCGAGCACAGCAGTATTTTGAGAAAATGGATGCTGACATCAATGTTACAAAAGCAGATGTTGAAAAGGTAAGCCAGAGGATGGAGAGACTGTTTGTAAACATGGATGTGAGAGGTTTAGTTCCTCAATCTCCGCTGGTAGGATAAACCCTTTGAGGCTTAATGCCTCACTTAAGTCAGTCCGTAGGTTAATTAAAAATAGGGAGATCTCTGCAGAGACCTATGTTTTGCATAAAAATTCTAAGCAGATACAGTCAGTTTTCTTCAGTAAGGTGATATCTGAGTTAAACATAGCTGACAGGGCTCTAAATGAGCTTATGCAAAATCAGTTTTAACTAACACCCTAGATTCTGTGACAGTCAAGCTTGTGAGGGCTCCCTGAGGGGTGCTTGCAGTTACCATGCATTGTTGGTCTCTCTGTGATCCAGGAAGAACTAACTTTCCTGCCTTTTGAGCAACACTTTGAAGGTGTCCCGATGTCGTGGTTGCAGTGAAGTATTAGCAGGGTTGTTTTTCGTGGTCCTAGGTTTACAGCAGGACAGCTTGTCATGTTATGCAGAATCCTGGAATCCATGCTTGTCACAGATGGCACATAGCTTTTATTTTTATTTTTATTTCTCAGTTGCTGTCTGGTTGCAGAGTCATTTGTGGCTTTTATACATTGATCCCCATTCAGTGAAGCTTTGGAACTGATGCTTAATTTTAAACATTTCTGTTTCAGCATATCCGTCTTGAAATATTTTCTCTCTTTAGCTTGATTCAAAATTGGATGTGCAGAAGGATGCTTACAGTTTGAATGTCCAAGTCCAGTGATGTACCTGTAGCTTAAGGAAGCAATGGAGAGGGAGAAAGCGTGTTTAAATTGCTTCTCTTTTTGGTGTTACATATCTGCTCAGAAGATGCAGTAATGTAGATCGGAAACACCGTATTAAAATGTGTAAGGGCAGTTTAGTCTTCCCTGAGCTTGATTCATATAGGTAGAAAATAGCCAGAACACTTGAAAAGGTTTGTTTCTTTAAAAACAAAAAAAGGCACAATGGAGAGGGAGAAAGCGTGTTTAAATTGCTTCTCTTTTTGGTGTTACATATCTGCTCAGAAGATGCAGTAATGTAGATCGGAAACACCGTATTAAAATGTGTAAGGGCAGTTTAGTCTTCCCTGAGCTTGATTCATATAGGTAGAAAATAGCCAGAACACTTGAAAAGGTTTGTTTCTTTAAAAACAAAAAAAGGCACCAAAAAAGGCAAGGGGAGAAAAAAAAAGCTGAAGCTTAAATATACCAAACCTTTAGCTTGATTCAAAATTGGATGTGCAGAAGGATGCTTACAGTTTGAATGTCCAAGTCCAGTGATGTACCTGTAGCTTAAGGAAGCAATGGAGAGGGAGAAAGCGTGTTTAAATTGCTTCTCTTTTTGGTGTTACATATCTGCTCAGAAGATGCAGTAATGTAGATCGGAAACACCGTATTAAAATGTGTAAGGGCAGTTTAGTCTTCCCTGAGCTTGATTCATATAGGTAGAAAATAGCCAGAACACTTGAAAAGGTTTGTTTCTTTAAAAACAAAAAAAGGCAACCAAAAAAGGCAAGGGGAGAAAAAAAAAAGCTGAAGCTTAAAATATACCAAACATTTTGTTGCAGGGACAGGAAAGGAAACTGAATTATAGGTAAGGAATCTTTTCTATTCCAAGATAGCCCTTGTAAAATGTAGCTTTTGCTCCTCAAGAGATCTGCTTCATTCTATTCTCAGTTAATTCAATCCTGGGAAGCTATCAAGTACAAATTTTTCTTTACATCTGTGGGATCTTAAGATGTTTTTAATATTCTGAGCATCATGGAGGTTGTGTAGCAGATAGCATCAAGGATGCCATTAGAAATGACGACAGTAAATTAAAAAGCAGGTCAGAAAACTTCCCTAAAGTGCTATTGCATATCAAAGGAAAAAATACCTCTGTGGTCTTGTAATTTGCTTGGCCATTAGCTGTAAATTCACCATGCAGATTTGACCCTTCATTGCCTTCTGGATTTGCCAGGGCACTTCACAGATGAATGCATGTACAGGATTGTTAAAGATGTAATGCCACATGTGGGTTTTTCTGACAGAGGAGGATCATCTCTGCTTTATCTGTATAAAGTGATTTTTAGAACACATTTTTTTCATAGATAAAATTAGGACTTGCCCTAGATTTTTTCAAAGCTGAGGCCATGTCAAAGGGATACAGAGACATGACTTACTATTTGACATAGAGGGCTGAAACTCCTTACTTCTACATCCCTTTCTAAGGCTGGCCTTTTCTGGTCAGAGTGAAAGGCTGTGTATTGGTGGTATATCAATCTGATAGCGTTAGGTAAATTCTGGGAAGCAATCCCTACCCTGGTGCTCTTTCCCTGTAAAGTGAAGCAGAGGGGCTTCCCTTCTAAATTTCTCTAGCTTTTTATTGTATGTATCTGTGAATTATTTATTGCAAAATGAGGCTCAGTGGTATCTTGAAAGAAAAAAAAAATCTGTTGCAGTTATGCGTGTTGGCTAATCTCAGGAGAAGGCATTAGTCGACTTTCCAGTCAGTCAGCGGGGTAGATGGAGAAGGAAAAGGTTATCAAAATGAGTGGAATGTGAAATAATATTACTGAACAGAGAACAGTGTTTTCCAAGTGCATGTGTTAAACTGGGTTCATCCATGTCAGGCTGTGAATAATGCCCTTTCTTTGCTTCCCTCCGCCCGTGTGACTGGGACTGCTCTTGCGCAACTCCCAAGTGCAAAACAGGACATTGTTTAACCGAGCGCTGCTGCTGGGGGCAGCTCTTGCCGACTCGCTCCAGGGAGATGCAGAAACTGCTCAGCTTCAAAGGAGGCAATATGATGACTTTTACCTCCTCCTATTGCAGCGGTTCTGATTTCTTTTGCCCCTTATAGCTTGGCTGCTGCACTCCTACTCCCAAAAATCTGTCTGGCCGGGAAAGCCGACCGTTTGGCTGTGTTCAGAGCCAATGCTACTCACTCTGGTGGAACAAGGTGCTCTTCGAGCAATGGGATCGGTTGCCCTCATTTCTTTGGCTTGAGATTGACACCTTGGTTACTTTAGCTTTTACCTGCAAATATGAGCAGACACTAGAGCTATTTTTTGCATCATGTATTATGGAGTAATGGAATTAAAATTCTGCAGTGCTCACAATGACACATGCAATCAAAAGAATACATAGCTGCAATTCCCTCATGCGCTTAATGCTAAGCTGTATGAGGCTCTGAAATGCTCGCATCTCTCAGTCTTTCTGTTGTTGTAGCCTTTGACAACTGCAGCAGGAAATTCTGTGACAGAGCTGCCAACTACCAGCACTTAACATGGCCTTGCCTAAGGGATAACTCTTGGTATTACAGTTTGCTGGGATTAAGTAACCAGAATAGTGGCAGAGAAGCAAATTAAGAGTTACTTAACAGTCCTTATTTCTCCAGGACTGTTTTGTGAAGGGCCTCGGGTGTGTGCTTAGAGGCAGGGCTGGGCGTGCAGTATGGGTATCTTGCACTGAGGTCCAAACCCCTTCTGTAGGGCCAGCTCGGGTTCGATAATGCAGAGGGCACGTGCCTTCTGTGCCACTTCTGTGGCCAGTATGGGCTCGATCATCTTTGCAGCCGGCCAGTCTGGTAGTTGATCTCGGAGAGAGCAGGGTGTTTAGCTTTGTTTCCTCCCATCTCCTTTTTTGGTGGTAGGAATATGGAGCAAAAGGCTGTGTTCAGTCTCTGCAGTGGTCGAGGTCTTTATGCAGGAATCAGAGAGTGGATTAGGGCCCCTGAGCTCCCTTCCCGTGTTTGCACTGAGCCTCTAAGTTACCAGCAGCTGACATTTGCACAGAGATGTTTAAGTGTCAACACAAAGTGCAGTTTGGCACAAAGGTTTTGTCAGCTCAGTTTTACAAGGTCAGGGTAGGAAGCTTACTGTGTTGCAGAAAGCTGTACTGTGAAAATATCCTTATAAACTAAGTAAATGGTGCAACATGCTGATGCTAATACCGGGAAGCCTTGTAGGTATCACTGTAGGCTTTAGCTTCATTTGGGTCGCAGTGGGATGTGTGCTTTAAAGCAGTTCTCTTTCAAAAACCACAGTGGAGCTGCTTCAATTTTTTGACCATTTGGGGAAATGGTCTCTGTCACCAGCACAGAGCTGGTGTACATATAAGGAAGCGCTCTATTGTTTGTTCCTTCTCTTTAGAGCTTCAATCACTAAAAAGCTGACATCTTTATGGGATAATGTGGTACCCAGTGGTGCCTTTGCAGACTTCTTGCAATTAAAAAAAAACAAAAACAAAAAAAACCAGCTGGCTTTTCTAAAGGTTTATTTTCAAAGCAGACTTTTCAGAATCTGTTTTTAAAGAGGAAGTGGCTGAGGACAACCATGGGAAGGGGTGAATGCTTTGCCTCTTGATTTGCAAAGCAGTTGAGGGGGAGGACAGCGGTTTGAGGTATTCGGTGTCAGGCAGGATCTGTCCCTTTGCTGAAGAGTAGCAGGGTCATATGTTGGTGTCCTAGGTAATAATTTTGCCAGAAAACAACTTCAGCTTTGAGCAGTAAAAAGAGCTGTGCCTGAGTTCCCAGAACTGCTGTCCTGAAGTTGAGGCTCATCACCTTGATCAGATTTTTGTTCCTGTTATGTTTGGAGGGTTCCACCTTGAGTGGTTTTGAGGTTAATGTAAACGTGTTGTGGATTTAGAAAGTAGTTTAGTAGCAGTAGATTTAGAAAGACATAAAGTGCAAATTTGACCTTAACTCGTATAAGTCAAGAAGCTTCTGACACTGCTAAAAACATGGGGTGGGTATCTTGTTTTGCTGTGGGTTTTTGACTGACTCATCTTTAGTTAAAGTCTTCAACCTGCACCCAGAAAGAACGAGCTTGTATTAAGATTTTATTTGTATCCTGTGACATTCAGACATCTTTTCTGGGGCAGTGGGGTTTTCCTACTGAAGTTGCTTTCTTACGTGCTTACAGCTGCTTGAGCTTGTGGCAAGTCAGCTGTCAGTTTCGATAATTTTGGAGTAATTTTGATTTCAAACTTATTTCCAAAATTATTATTACAGAAT